AAAGAGTTTTCACATTTCTGGGAATTTTATGGCAGTATTGTCATTAAACCCTGTAAAATATTCCAAAATTTAAAAAAAAATGGGCTCGAAAATTTAAAAAAATTTTAACGAATTTTCTAACGTTATCGTGCATTTTTTCTGAGTGTAGCACAGTCACATGTGTGTTGCATGTTCGTTGGCCCGCCATGACATGTTCGAGGAGCAGGAAGTCGTTTTGCGTTTGCCTTGTGCTGGCCACATTTATGAGTTGCTCATGGCTAGAGTTGCCGGTGTGTTGCAAGCGGATTGCAAGTGGCATGCAATGTGCCACTTGCTGCGGCCATTCGTCGCCAGGCCAAAGGATAATACAAGCTAAAGGTAATTCCCAAAGAATGCAACCCTATAGAGTATTAGTTACTAAGCCAGGTCTAGGCTGGCAAATGATGTCATTAGTACCTAGTAGATACAACACGCAATGGCAAATTAAGAAATTAAGTGGCAACAGTTAGCAACTCTGCGGCATGTTGCTGCCGTAGCAACGGCTGATATTGCTGCTGTCCTGAGGGCAGCACGCCAGTCTAATTGCAAGTGGATCAGAGATCCATGCAAATTGTTTTGCCATGCCATGCTAAATTGCTGAGAACTGAGAGGAGCAGTGGGTGATGTTTTGGGCCCAGCTCCGCCTTCCCAATTACAGGCGATATGTATTGCCAATTGACAATCGGGGTTGATCGGAGCCGAGAGCGAGTGATTTATGCACCGGACCATTTAAAGTCCGCGGCGGTTCCATAAACAAATTGTCGCCGTGCTCTCTAAATGGCCATGGCTCTCCGCTGCTGCCATGAAATTGAGCTGTAATTGAATTGCAGTTGCACTCAGGATATTGGGCTCGCTCTGCCCGCTGAACTATGGGGTGAAAAGTCATGTTTTTGGGACAATTATTAAATGTTTCAGAATAGGAAAAATAAGTTTAAGTGTTCTACAAATGGTTGAAGTTTACCCCTTCTTTTAATTTCGAAAAATACAAACGAGTTAAAAATATTGTAAATATTTTCTTTTTATCCAATATAAATTTTGGTTAATTGAATATTTGACACAATTTATTTTTTTAACTTTCGACTATAATAATATTTGTATACCTTTTTTTAAGGACCTTAGAAAAAAATGTAAAATTTCTATACATATGTAAAAATTAATTTTAATGGCAAAATAAGTAGTACAACTCTCATATGTTAAATAATATTTACATTAAAAATATTAATTTGTAGGTAAAAATGTTTTTCATTTCCCATATTTTTATATTTTATTAAAATTTTAAAGCACTAGAATTAAAGCTTTTACCGGCTATATGTGCCACAGTAGGCTAGCTGGCTCATTCGGTTTTTGGCCATCTTGCAATTTATTGCACGGCATTTCACAATTAAAACACCGGCCAGCGAGCCACGTCATTAGTTTGGGCCCAAACAAATATGGCCACTGAGTGTGTTTGTTACGAATTCAAACATTTTTACATTTGTTTTGGCCCGCTGATAATTTGCTAGCTGCCTGCTTGGTTGGTTGGCTTTGCAACAATGTACGTAGTTGTCGGCCCAAAAACAAACAACATCGGGTTATTTGCCCAATCTTTTCAGTTGTTGGCAATATCTGTTCAAATATATATAACACATATATTTGCAGAGAGCACACTTTTCCGCTGGGCTGGCAGTTAGGCAGTTGATCTATAATTACCGAACCTGGGTAGGGGTATGGGTATCCGAAACCAAAGACCGAGCCCAAGTATAAATATCATTGTCAAATGCGCTTTTAATTGATGTCGACAGGCACCGAACACATTGGACAGCCGAGCTGGACACTCGAGTTGCTTGGCCAGGCGATCTGACAAGCTCACATTAGCAATAAAATATCTAATTGGAGTTTTCCCCCCATTGCACTTCCCCGTCGATTTCCCGGCAAAATGAAAATTTCATTTACAACCTGGCCGGGGTAATCGAGACTTTTGTTTAGTTGAGTTTTCTGTTTAGTTTTCTGTTTGTTTTTTTGTTATTCGTTTGTGTGGCTTGTAGCGCTCTATAAGGCGTGATTTATGCCTTCCACTGGAAATTTATTTCGTTTTTAATGAGTAATTTACACAAAATTGCATTAATTTGGCGGCCAAAGCCCGGACGCGCGACAAGTCATGGCAAATTTCTGACATTTCCTTGATTTATGTGACAAAAAAAAAAAACAAAAAAATGGCAACAACCACTGAGATTTTTCCGTAATTGTAATTGTTCAATTTGAATTGGCTTCATTCTTTTGGACGCCCGGCCCCAAGAAAGTGCTGCCAATTAACGCAAACATAGCGGGCAGTTGGAAAACTCGGCGTGTTGCAACGATTTCCATATGCGAAAGCAGTGCAAATAGTCGCATTGCATTGCATTGGCCCGGGGAGATGATTTAGTGCCCCGCCATCTACGGCACTCGCCGGTGCACTTATACGAGTGTATCTGCGGGATACACATTTTAATTAATATGTACAAGCATCACCTAATGAAGCCGCTGGTCCAGACAGGCGGCCAAGACGTGACCAACACGGCAGCCAGGTATTTTTGGTATTTTTACAACACCCAAGCTGCCGTGGAAGGATACACTGAAAAAATCATGGGTTACGAAAGGCCAAAGAAATGGATCAACTTTTTATTTTATTGAGTGACCTCTGGTAAAAAGCTTGGCTGTTGTAGGAAAGCAAATACTTTACTTTTACAGGTTTTAAGATTAATAAGAATTACTACACCCAAAAAATGAATTGATATGAAGAAATGATCGATTTGATGTTACGTGGTAATAATTTTGACATGAGATGCCTCAATTCGATATGCTCGAAATGTAAACCACTGGCCAGGCGTATGTAGTACTATCAATTTACCATGCGCATCTCGATTTCACCTCGAGGTTTTTTTTGTTTGTGTAGAATTTAAAACTGAAATCATCTGGGTAAAAATCTCTTACAGCTTCGAAATTTTCATGTTCATAATAAGATTATTATAAACTAAATTCCTAGGAATTTTCAAATTTCAGCTTATGTGTATTAAATATTAACCGTTTTTCCTGTTTTTATATAATAAAGTAATAAACCTCTCCAATATTTCAGTTGTTTCCAGTGCATCGAGTTAAAGGAAAAGATGGAAGGCATTTCCATAGCGACTGCGAAATGCTGGAAAATGGTGCGAATGCGAATGCCACTGCAAGGTGGCTTACATTATATGGCCAAAACACCTAAGGCCATGATTTATAGTTTGTGGTAAATTAAGAAATTAAAATGCTTTTATGGGCAACTGGCCAATCCGCAGCTTCTGTTTGCGGCTCTAATTCCACATCCACAACCCCTCCCCCCCTTGTAACCCCGCTGTCATTCTGTCGAATTAATTGCCAAAATGTTTGATAAGATTATTTTGAGCATAAGCCGCCCACGCCGAATAGAAAAAAACAACCTGCAGCTCCTGCAGCAGCAACCCAACCACCCCCAATCCGAAAATCATTTTCTTAATTAAAATTTCGGTTGCATGCCAGGCACAAAATTGTGTTGCTCAAAAAGCAGCAAATTGTTGCCAGATATTAATGTGGCTTTGTAATTGGTTTTTCTCAAGTCCAAGTCACGTTAAGTCAATTAAGAGAAATGAATTTTCGTATATGAGCGGAATGGTTGGATGGATTGCGATGGTGGAGTAGCAGTTGCATAATACAATGTTATGCAGTTGTAAATTGAGTGAGAAAACTTCTACAAAGGTAGCCCATAATAAATCAATATAGATTATACAGGTGAAATACTTTAAAATTCAATTTTTTGGATTAATAAATCAACCTAAATTCCCTATAAATATTTCTAACTTGTTTCTTTATTTGATAACGTATTTTTAAAGTCTTTCGACACAGTCTGAATCGCTTTGGTCTAGAAGTATAGCAATACAGCCGCCGAAGAAGAAGATCTCCGTGGAGAAACCTTGGACCACATTACCATTTAAGCTCCATTAGCAGCGCCAAATATTTGAGCACGTTGAGTTTAATTGGTTCCTGTGCTGTGGCAGCAAAGTGGAAACGAAGACGCAACTCGGCGACATGGTAACATGGTTACATCGGTTCAGATCGGATCCACACTGGACTTGGACCCATGTTGCGCCATCCACTTGTTGCCATCGAGGCAATTGCCCGTCCAAATTTGGTCCGCTCTGCGTTTTCCCCGCTCGAGAACAAGCTCGTTAAACGTTTTCCTATTGCAATTGCGCTATAAATTCTACCAAAAATGTAACTAATGAAGTGTTATGAAAGGTGATCATAAATCGTTGACTTCGATTGCCCGCCGGCGAGGAGAAGGGGATCCGGAGATCAGGGAGATAGATCTGTTCTGTTCGGCTCGGTTCAAAACTGAGATGAGTTGGGAAACGAAAGCTCGATTGAGAATCTTGGGTGTGTGAAGCTTATCATAAACGGGAGATTTGCTGTCGATGTCACAGAATTAAGTTCAATGTTTTATACCCTGTAACACGTCAACATGGATAGTATATAGATCTATAAGTAGTTTTTTGGAAGATATTTCCCTAATTTTTCTAAAGCAACATAGGTAGAATATATTATTGTGGCATTCTTGACTCATAATGCAAAAACAATATTAAATTACTAATTTAAAAAAATAATTAACACAATTTAACCCGCTTTAAATTTAAATAATTAACTTTATTTAATTACACTATACCCAAAAAAAATCGATATGAAACGTAGATAGATTTTACATTATTTAAGATCAATTTTAATTTGATATGCGGCCCGGTAAATTTGAGCTGGTCGAAAAAATATTTCATGTAAAGACGATATGGGTTTTGCATGACCTGAAATTGATATAGCCAAATCGATTTTACGTGAACATGCTTTTTTTGTGTGAACATTAAAACTCACCTGATCTATTATAATTTATAATCGAAGGTATTAATCAGTCGACTTTCTAAAGTCTTAAATTTCCTTATCGCCACTTACTTTTGTGCGTATAAGTCACTCTCCGCTGGGGAAGAAAGGAATGGAAAAATTTTAATTCGATTTTAACAGTAGAACCCTCAAGATGTTACCCAAAAAATGGATTCCCAAACCGCTACAGCTACTACTCCTCCTGGTTACCCTAGAGGTTATCCACAAATCCCAGGCAGCTAGTTTCTGCACCAAGGCGGATCAGTGTGCCCTGGACGAGGAGGTAAAACCAGCTGCAGTTCCACCTCCAGTTCAAGCCCGCTACGATCACACGCGCATCTACCAAGTGGAATTGGCCAGTGAAGAACATGTCCGGATCTTTCAGGCCCTGGAATTGGCCAGCGATTCGTGCTCCTTCATGGGTCATGCCCGGCAACCAGGTCAAAAGCTGACCATTATGGTGACGGCTGCCAAGGTGGCCGACTTCGATGATTTGGTGCACAGCTATAATGTGACGCATAGGGTGCTGAATCACAATTTCCAGGCCCTGATCGATGCCAACTATCGCGAGGTGGCTCCGGAAGGAATCACACCCGACCAATTCGACTGGAAACGCTATCATTCGCTGGAGAGTATCGATGCCTGGCTGGGGAATCTGGCCAAGAAGCATCCCGAGGTGGTTACCCTAGTCCAGTTGGGTGTCAGCACCCAGGGAAGGCCCATTCAGGGTGTGAAGATCGCTTTTGACGGGGAGAATCGAACCACTGTCTTCGTGGAGAGCGGGATTCATGCTCGCGAATGGATTGCTCCGGCCACGGCTACCTATATCATCGACCAGCTGGTGAACTCCCAGGATCCGACCATCCAGGAATTAGCGCGCTCCCAAAACTGGTACATCTTTCCCACCGTAAATCCCGATGGATATCGCTACACCTTCCAGGGCGATCGCATGTGGCGCAAAAATCGAGCTCTCTTCGGGATCTGCCGAGGTGTGGATCTCAATCGGAACTTCCCATTTCATTGGAACGTCACGGGAGCCAGTGGAGATCCCTGCCGCTATGATTACTCGGGACCTTCGGCTGGAAGTGAGGTGGAAACCCACGCGATGACTGAGTTCATAAAGAACCGGGTTGTTTCGGAGCGCATACGTACTTTTATAGCGCTGCATAGCTACTCCCAGATGATCATGTTTCCCTATGGACACAGTGCCCAGCGTGTGAATAACTATCAGGATCTAAAGGAGATTGGCCAACTGGCTGCTCAGCGGATCAAGGATGTGAGTGGCAGGATCTACAAGAGTGGCAGCATTTACGAGACCATCTATCCCTCGTCTGGTGGATCCAAGGATTGGGCTCATGGTCAGCTAAAGATACCCATTACCTTCTCGTACGAGCTGCGTGGACCGGCGGATAGCGAGGACCTGTTCATTTTGTCCGCCAAGGAGATCGAACCCACGGCAGCAGAAGCCTTCGCCTCCATCCAAACGATCGTGCAGGAGGCCGGCAAACGAGGCTATTACCAGTGATCTCCAGCCTCAGCTGCACATCCAAATCCAAAGACGACGACGACGACGATGATGATGATAAATGTCGTCTGGCCTGGCAGTTCACATGAAAAACACATTACGCGCCATCGTTTCTTAATGCTAAATAATGATGGCAAAATCATGACACAAAACCTCATAATAATGTTGGTAAATCAAAGCAAATATAGTCAGACTCGAACAACCTTACAGAAATAGTTGCAACTATTACAGTTACGATGCATTGTTATTGTGCACTTGCATTTCGCAGGGGGTCCATTGGTTTTGGGGTTTATTTAGCGAGGATTTATTGGAGGTAAGATGGGATTTTTATGGTATGACTGGACGATATTGGTTGAATTCTAATTTCGATTGGTCCTTTTTTATACACTGATTTTCAGTATTCTTTAGCAACGTATAATTTTTATAATACTATATTATTTTATAATTTTAACTTGTTTTATAAATTTTAAAGCAAAGTTTTAAATCGTAAAGCGGATACCTTTTGTTCAAAAAAAGTTTTTAGTATTTAAAAAAATAAATGCGCGAATTCTTTAGAATATACAAAATGTAAATAAAATAAAGATAAAAAAATATAAAGAAATACGCGAATTCTTTAGGATATACAAAATGTAAGTAAAATGAAGATATAAAATAATATAAATAAATACGCGAATTCTTTAGGATATACAAAATGTAGATAAAATGAAGAAATATTTGTAATTTTTAAACTAGGATCCAGAGTGTATAAAATCAGTGTCCTATCAAATCTTAACTGACTTTGTCAGAACTCAGCCTGGCAGCTGACAGGCGAGTTATGAACCTGCGCAGCCTCGACAGACAATATGCATGTTGCACTCTGGCGCACAACAGCAACATGGACTAGCAACTAGCAACACCAGCAACACATTGCTGCCGACATAGCAGACTTGTTGACGGCAATTGTCGAGTTTTTGTTTTGCTTTGGTTTGGTCTCGCTTTGTTGTTTGGGCCATTATAATATATAGTTAGTAGGAGAGCTATGGCAGCCACACATGCCAGACACTGGCCGGTTAATAATGTTGCTGCTGCGGCTGCTGATGTTGATGTTGCTGGCGATATTGATGTTGCCATAATCACGATCTAATTTATTTACAAATTGTGTTGAAATCATACGTTCAAAGTCGTGTTTAAAAGGTTCTTTATGATTTATGCCAGCGTTGAAATGAACCGCAACAACAATGGACAGAACAATTGCGAGTGGTGAGTGGGGGAAAAGATTTCTCACAGTCGCCGCGATGGCAGAGATGGCCTGGAAATTTGTTTCGTCTGCTTTTATGTGCACCTAATTGATTGGGGCAAGTGGAGGAGCCAGGAAAACCAGGAACTCTCCTACGACCAGCCAGCTAATTTAGATTTATGGCTCAAATCGCAACTTGATGCGTGATGCCGCCGAGACAAGCCGCCTGTTCCTCCTCCTCAATTTGCTCCACCTCCTCCGTTGGTGTTGCATGTGGCCATTTGTCATCGGGATCGAGGAGCGAGGATCGTGTGCTGCAGCTGCGATTTCAGGCCGCTCCAAACGGGCACGAATTCTTTGCGCAAACCGAAATAAAAAGAAAAAAAAACAGAAATAAAATATCTTTCTCCCGCGCTGCTCGCTGTTATAATCTCGCAAATGTTGATAAATTGAACGATTGTTGATTTTCACGCTGCAATTGCTGCATTGCCCATGGGCCGTGTCACTGTGCCGGCTGGGAAATAAACATATCAACATGATAAATACGAGGACCGGGTTATCAGCGGTCCCAGAAACTGGCAGACACACACCGGACACTCATGTTGCCCCGAAGGACAGCCTCATAAATCAGCGCGCAACTGGACAAAATGTGAGCCGTTTTAATCGCTGATTTCCGCTTCACGAGAAATTGAAATAAAATGCGGCAAGGCGAGGCGAAACAAGAAAGGAAGTGCGATTCGGCAAGCCGAAGTTAAGATGCCCTGGCAGTTAAGTGATGATTAGTTGTTGAAATGTAACCTAGATTGATACTATATCTCCTAGAAAATGCATTTGCCATAATAAAATTATTAATTAATTAATATTAAACAATATTCAAGTTCTTTTTAAAATCTCAATTAATATTTAGATTTCCAAAACTGGTGAATTTTCATTAAAAAATATATTTGTGAATATTTAAATCAGCTACTAAGGAACTGTCTAAGTTTTGGACAACCGAATTATAATTTTCTCTTCAAGGTTTTATTATTTTATTGGCTAAATTTAGCCTAGAATGATCCTATATCTGCTAGAAAATGCATTCGCTTGAATTAAATTAATATTAAACCATATTCGGGTTCTTCCTAAAATCATGATTAATATATAAAATTTCCTAAACTGGTGATATTTCATTAAAAAAAATTGTTTGTGACATTTTAAATCAGTTTCTGAGGAACTGGAATAACTATATGCAGATTTACTGGCGTTGGAATCTTTTAGACAACCGAATTATACTTTTCTCTTCAAGGTTTTTGGCAAAACAGGTTTGCAAATCGGACCGTGGCCAACTTTAGGGCCCACCCTCGCACTCTACACTGCACTGCACAAGTGGGTTATTTACTTATGGGTTGTGTTTATTGAATTTAGTTTGTGTTTTTTTTTGTTTTGTTTCTGTCGATTTGTTGTATTTGAGGGCAACTCTCTCAGCTAGTCGCTCATTGGATGAACAGTAAAACTAGATTTACAAAACTTTCGGCTCCGACAGATCGTCGAGGGGCTTGCTGGGCGGCGGGATCTTGTACTCGGTCTCGGGCGTCTCGTAGATCTTCTCCTCCTTGGGCTCCACAACGGACACGTTGTCGGGCAGCGGCTTCTTGGGGCCGATCTTGTTCTTGGGATCGTAGGGCAGCATGATCTTGACCTTGATGCCCAGCACTCCCTGGCGGAGGAGCACGTGACGGGTGGCGGTCTCGACGTAGTCGTTGCACGGATCACCCGAATGGATCATCAGGCCATCGACGAACTTCATCGACTTGGCGCGCTGACCGCGCAGCTTGCCGGAGACGACAACCTCGCAGCCCTTGGCGCCGGACTCCATGATGAAGCGGAGCACGCCGTAGCAGGCACGACGGACGGCCAATCCTCCGGTGAGCTTGTAGCGCAGCGACTCAGCCTGGGCGATGGCGCACAGGCCGCGGGTGGCCACCTTCTCGGCGTACAGCTCAATGCGTCCGGTCTCGAAGTTGAAACGCTTCTGCACCATGGCGGTCAGCTCACGGATGCGGCGGCCCTTCTCGCCGAGAACCTGCTGGGTCTTGGTGGCCATGATGATGATCTCGGTGCGGGAGGGGGTCACACGCACCTCCACGCCGGAGTAGCCATCCTCGGCGAGTTCGCGGGTCAGGAACTCGTTCAATTCGGCCTTGAAGATGCCATCGGAAACGAACTGTGGGTGGGGAAAACAGTTATTACCGATGGGTTCCCTTTTATATTTTTCCCCTATATTGTTTTTGTTGTTGTTTCACCACGCGTTGTTGAGCCCCCAAAGTTTTTGGGACGCCCCACAGCTTTTTGAGGTTAGTTCCGAACGAGAGAGCCCTCGGGTTTTCTGCTCCCTCCGGCCGGGTTTTTCACACAACCCCGGGGAAACAACATAACTGCGGTGACTGCAGATCGTCCTGGACCTTATTCCGGGTCGGTTTTGCACATTTACCTTGCGTTTCTTGGAAATCGGAAGGGTCGCATTCATTTTGACGTCGAATCGGAAACGTGGTGCGCAGAAAAGAAGGAGAAAAGGCCGGTGTGGCCGTGGGATCGCATAATACCGGGGCGGCGAAAAATACTGTTAATACCATTTTTAACCCAAATATACCGAAAACGTTTTCAAACGGTCACGCTGAAACAATCGATTATTCGGATGTATTCTATCGACAGCTATCGATAGTTAATGTTCATGTGCACTGTTAACTACTCTGTTAATTTTAACATTTCAATGAGCGCAATTGAATCATCTGAATTGAATTGAATTTTAAACGAAAGGGAAATAAAAATGTAAAGTGAAATCAAAACGTAAGCTGTCTGCGAAGAATAGATATATAAAAACGACAACCCAAATTGTAGCGGATTTGCCCTATTTCAACATTAATTTTTCGATCGTCAAAATGGTTTATGTTAAATTTATTTCGAAATTCTAAAGTATAAAAAAAAAACAAAAGAGGTATATCCCAAAGTGGAAGGGAAAACAATAATATCTGTAACATTTTAGTTATCGCCAGTACCCAGTATTTACTTAAAAATCAAATTAGAAAGTAAATTTGAAATTCTTCTTAGCTTGCTTAAAATTTTAGACAGTAACTATCAATAATAAATCAGTTTTATTGGTTTTAAGTTCCCTGAAAGTTTTCAACAAATAAAGTGATTTTGAAATTGCTGATTTGTTTTTGTTTTTGATTTTTCAGCAAGTCAACAGCTTTGGGAATAGTTACTGTTACTAGTTATAGTCGCTCTTATTATCTGATATTGTGGATCAGTGTTTAAAATGCTGCAGTCCAAATAACACAAGAGAGAACGCTATAGTCGGGTTAATGTCCCGACTATCTAATACCCGTCCCTCAGCTAAAGGGAGTGCGAGGGAGATGGATATACATATACCATTTTGATTTCGCAAAACTTTTTAATGAATGGTCCGATTTAAAAAATATCTTCTACATTTCGAAAATTGCATTTATACTTCCGGGAAATCTTTGAAGGTGTGGGCTGAAATAAACTTGGGCTTCGTAGGAGGCCCAAGAATATGTGTGGGAAAATCTCAACCTTCTAGCTTCTGTAGTTTCCGAGATCTCAGCGTTCATACAGACAGACAGACAGACGGACAGACGGAGAGACGGACATAGCTAGATCGACTCGGCTAGTGATCCTGATCAACTGTTACAAGATACCCTTTTACTCTACGAGTAACGGGTATAAAAATTTGTTTAAACGCGGACAAAGTCATGGCGAGAAAGTTCGTATATTTATAAAAGCGGAGGGAAACGAAGAACACATATAAACCGTCTTAAGACCTCTGACCTCTTTTAAATCCATAAGTGGAAATAACTAGTATTGTAAGTAAACCAAAAACACAGTTTAGGGGAAACATTTAATTGTATTTCGTATATATATTTGTAAGATAACACTTTTGACCACGACTTCAGCACGACATTTCTTCAGTTGGATAGTTGAGAGTTGGACAGGTTCGAGCTGTGCTCCGAATCGGAGGATGGCCCGGGATGCAGGGGCGCCTGCTGCTGGTGCTGCTGTGGCGCCTGTTGCTGCTGCTGGGAATGGGCGTGGGGAAGGTGCGACGGCTGCTTCGACTGGATAGCAGTGCCCGATTCGTAGTTGATGCGAATCCACTGTCCCTCGGTGTTCTCCTTCCACAGTGTGACATTGTTATCCCCACCGGTGACGGCCAGAATGTTACCGGTGGTGGACCATGAGATGCTCCACACGGCATCGTCGAATGTGTGCAGCACCGTCGATGTCCACTGTGTCAGATCCGAGTTGCTGCTCCACACGATCACATGGCGATCCTGCGAGGCCGTGGCAATCTGCGACCTGGGCAGGCCGATCGACGGCGCCCAGGCCACGTCGCGCACCCAATCGGAGTGCGCCTCCAGTCGCTGCTCCTCCACCCAGCGGTCGTTGTCCTCGCGCCAGATCTTCACCAGATTATCGCATCCGCCGCTCACCAGTCGCTTGACGGCCGTCGAACGCGAGGTTACCCGCTGATCGAAGGCCGGATCCGGCGCCTGGGCCGGGCACCAGGATATGGCATTCACGCCGATGGTGTGGGCATTCGGTATCTTCTTGGCATCCCACACGCCGTACTCCGTGTTGCAGGTCAGCACCGAAATGGAGCCATCCGAACTGGCGCAGGCCAGCACCAGTCCGTACTCCGATGGGGCGAAATCCACCGAGTTCACCGACGAGTCGTGGTTGCTGTATTCGTATCTGAAATGTGGCAGGCACAAAGGTTAGATGTGGCAGTCAGTCGTTTAGTGATAACATCAGTCCAAACATATGTATGACATATGTAGTTTATGTTTGGGGAAAGGCGGGTGTAGGCTATTTGGTACCCTATGTTTTATAAGGATGTACAATTTTTACAGCACTTGTTAAATTAATTTCAATAAACTAATGGAGTTTCCTAGAACTGTCTTAAAAATATAATCATAATTTATAAATTTTAAATATTTAATTATAATAATTAATTTAAAAGTCGATTAAAGCAAAAATTATCACAATCTGTCGAATAACATTTATAAATGCATCTATCATTCATATTTTGCAGATTTGGTTTTTTTAAATATTCAGAAATCAAATGTTTAATTAATAATTAAGACAAATGGATTCAAAAACTGAAAATATAAATTTTGTTAAATGGGTCGATTATAATAAAAATTATCACAATGTTAATCTATCATTAATCTTTTGTGGTTTTAATTTTTTTTAATGTTTAATGTTTTAGATATCAAATATTTAATAAATTAATAATAAGGACAAATGGATTGAAAAACTGAAAAATATATGTTGTTAAATGGGTTATAATAAATAGTATCACAATTTGTTGGATTTCGTTTATAAATTCATCTACTTATCATTAATAATTAAGCCAAATAGGTTGAAAAACAAAAGAAATAAATTTGGATAAATGGGTTAGAATAAAGGGTATCCACTAGTCGCTATCCCCACCCTCTTGTTTGTGTGGGTGTGCCCTCTGCCCGCTGCCTGTGTGCGTTTACTTACAGCTTAGTCCAATCCCGGGGCGATGTGGACTTCCAGACGATCACCTTGCGGTCGTAGGAGCACGAGGCCAGGATGTTGCCGAACTTGGGATGCGCCCAGGCCACCTGCCACACGGGTCCCTGGTGTCCCTTGAGCTCGGCCAGCGCCTTGTTGTTCTTGCGCGAGTGGAAGATGCGGACGCTGCCGTCCGAGGAGCAGGTGGCCAGCAGCAGGCCGTAGAAGTCCAGCGCCGCGTGGTGTACCATGTCCTCGTGCTCGGTGTCGATCTCCTGCAGCAGGCTCACCATCTTGCTCGAAATCTGTTGGTCCGGTTGCCAGGAAAATTAAATAAATGCAAGTCGTGTTTTTTTTCCGGCGCTTGACGTGGAACCTGGACGAGCAGAGTGACCAGATTGCCCACTGGTCACACTGGTCTAGGGATGTGCGCGTGACTCGTGCCTAAATCGTGACTACCTATTATCAAATATTGATATAAAGATGAAAGCGTATTAAATAAAGAGAAACATTTAAGTTTTCTTATATGGAAATTACTAAAATTTAGTTTCATAAATTCATACATTTTTTGTAAATATCAGGGAACGTAACTGTTATAAGTTTTATTTTAAAAATCACACTTTAACAGTTATTTTCTGATTTGTAAAGTAAAACTCAAAGAATAACTGTTATTTTTTGAGTTTTATAATAAAAGTTGACAAATAACAGTTATTCGTCGTGATCAAAATAAAACTCAAACTTGATTTATGGCGATTTTGTGGGTAAACAAAATTTTAAAAAAATATAGGTATAAAATATGCGCGGTTGCCTTTTTTAACAAATTTTTAGTAAGATATAAAAAGCACGGGTATTATGTTTTTTTTAATTATTTCATTTTTTCAAAAATGTCAAGGGAATAACTGTTATTCATAAAAATCAAAAAATAACAGTTATTTTTTGAGTTTTATTATAAAAATCAAAAAATAAAAATCATTACGGATTTGTAAACTACAATGGCTAATAAAAATTGTGGTGCATTTAAAAAATTTTTAGGACCCTTCTAAGTGCGTGATTTTTTTGTATGAAAAATTTACAATAACAGTTATTTTCGTTCCCTGGTAAATATCATCCCTGCTCTATCGTGCTCGTGCTGCAACTATCGGTCACGCGCCCATCCCCAACACCAACTGCCATTGTGAACTGACAATTGACACTTTTCCGCACGAAAGTTTGCATTTGCCAAGGAAAATAAGGTGAAAATAGCAATTAAAAAGTAGAAAAACTACTTTTAAGAGTGTGTAGTGATAAAAAGCAATAGTTCGCAGCAAAATCATACACGAAATACCCCTGGAACCCGCGAAACAACAACTCGTATTACATAACCTTTTTAAGGTTACATATAAGGGGAAGCCGAAATATGCAATTCTAACCAGAATATCCTTAAATTCCAGATGCTGTCGCAATCCCTGCTGAGTGGCATGCGTGTCCTGCGCACCGAGGCCCGTCGTAACTTCGGAATTGTGGCCCCCGCTTTGAGCAAGGCCTCCGATCCCATCCAGCAGCTGTTCCTGGACAAAGTGCGCGAGTACAAGCAGAAGAGCTCGTGAGTTTTGGATGGTATATCCTATATTATACCTATGAGTAACCCTGATTTCTCGTACTTTCAGTGGCGGCAAGCTGGTGGACTCGAATCCCGAGATCGAGCGGGAGCTCAAGACCGAACTGGACCGTGTGGCCAAGCAGTACGGCAGCGATGGCAAGACCGACATGCTGAAGTTCCCCGAATTCCAGTTCCCCGATGTCAAGGTCGACCCCATCACCCAGGCCGCCCAGTAAAGATCGAACCTTAGTCTAATTGCTTTAAAATCTGCTGCTGATTTCGTCAACAACAACCAATAAAATCGGGAAAACCACAAGCGATACGTTTGTAAAAGCCATAAAAAGTGTGTGCATCTCAAGGGATTATATAGAGTGACTAATCTTCATCATATCCCATCATATATTCGTTTAAAAATAATTTCCTAAAAGTATGTTGGAAATTAATTGAAAAGTGTTACAGTATCTTAAAAAGTGATTCTTTAAATATTTGAATAGATTAAGGTAATATCATCCTTTCAAAAATCAATTTTGAATCAAGACCACATACAAAAGTCGTGGTTTTATATGAGATATATCATATATCCATCAACTCTTCCTTTAAAAACCTAATCATTTCCTAAAAGGTTGTTGGAAATTAATTAAAAATGTTTCAGTATCTTAAATAGTGATTCTTTAAGTACTTGAATAGATATAGAAAATATCATCCTTTTAAAAATCTATTTTGAATCAGTAAGAGATACACAGGTCGTGGTTTTACATGAGATTTAAATTTCAATAGACATATCTTCATCATATCGATTAAAAATCAAATCATTTCCTAAAAGGTTGTTGGAAATTAATTGAAAAGTGTTACAGTATCTCAAATAGTGATTCTTTAAATATTTGAATAGATTAAGATAATATCTACCTTGCAAAAATCTATTTCGAATCAATAACACATAAATAAGTCGTGGTTTTACTTGAGATTTAAATTAAAACAGACAATCGAGATCGTAAAGTCAAAGAAACAGAAACATTATTATTTCCCTACTCCTAATCATGAAAATCCCTATAAATTTCATTAAAATTATATTTTATTTAGAAGCGAAGCTTACAATTACCACTATGATCTACAAAATAACAACCTTAAAGTTGTCAAACAACTTTAACGCGGCGTTGTTAGTGCCTGATGAACAGTCTGCTGGAGCAACTGCATCTTGTGGTTGGCGGCCACCTTGCTGAATGTGCCCAGCAGCGTTTGGATGTCCTTGCCGCTGATGAGGGGCACAAAGCTACCGGCGCAGGTGCAGAACTCGGCCAGATTCTCGCGCTTGATCTCGCTGCAGCGCGAACAGCGCAGATCCTGCAGCACATAGGACATCATCTTGCGCTGCAGGGCATCCAGCATCCTCATCTCGATCTCCTCGTTGTCATAGGCCACATAGCACTGGGCACACAGCCAAACGGGTCTGAAAAAATCAATAAAAATGAAATATAGTTTATTATAGGTCGAGATTCATGTACTCACACTCCATCCTTCATGGCGTGATGCTTGTCCTTGCAGAGATCCAGATCCCTACAATGATTGCAGGCCTTGCAGATGACCTCGTTGATGATGTGACTGTCGCAGGGATCCTCCCAATCGGCCAAGTCGGAGAACTCACCAATACCCACCAAACGCAGCATATTCCTGCGCAGCTCGTTGATCTGCTCGGCCAGTGTTTTGTCCACACTTAGCGCCTTAATTAAAGTGCGAATGAGTTCCAATCCCGGACTCGACTTGCCCTTGCCGTAGTTCTTGTGCAGCTTCAGGATAAAGTCAAAGGCGCAGTGGGAAATGTCCTTGATGGCCTGCTCGGTGGTCTTCCTTTCGGCCAGGGATTGCATGAAGAGGGTCAATAGGTTTTCGAACTTTTCGCGGCACTCGTTTTCATCGGGCAGGTGCTCTCCTATTGTCCAATTGAGCTCCAGCGACAGCTCATCCTCCTGATCCTGCTCTTGCTCGTTGCTCTCAATTGGATCTTGGTTTTCCACATCCTCTTCTTCATCATCCTTCTCCTCCTCGTCTTCCGTATCCCTTCGCATGGTAGTGGAAACTATAGAGGACACCGTCTCGTCGATTCCCTTGGGCAGCTTTCCCCGGATGCCCGAGAAATTAGCCTGATCCATCCAGAGCATAAAGTTCCAGCACTGCTCGAAGCTCAGCTGAATGGAGTGGAACATCTCCTTGTTGCGCAGACTCTGCACTATATAGTCCACATATCCGAGAGCATCGGACACCGATTTCTTGCCGGAACTCAAGATAATCCTATTGAAATCCGCATAAACAATCGTGGCGCCCAATCTCTTAAACTCTGCGATGATCCGAAGGAACATTTTCCTCATCAAATTGTTCAGAGATCTCCTCAAAGCGGGATCATATAACAAAGCATTGCTGGAGCGCACCCACCGATAGAAGTGAACAATCTGGAAATCAGAAAAGATGTTCCTGTTGATGGACACCTCACGCAACCAGCCATTCACCATGGAGCGCATCACGCGAAAGGCGGCCGAGCAGAGTGCCGTTTCATCGTAGCTCGGCAAAGTGGCCGCCGGCACGGTGCCAATCATTTCCTCCAGCGAGGCCTGCGGCATTACATCAAAGGTAATAGCCGAGGAGGCGCCCTCCATCTCCTGAATCCTGGTCGATTGAAGCAAAGCACTCACCGCCAGGCTATCCAAAGCCAGTTCCACGCAAACATCCGGATAGAAGCCCGCCTTGTTCTGCACCACACTGATGCTCTCCTCGAATTCCGCCAGCAGCCGACTGTCATCCGCCTCGCGGCCACCCAAATCCGGCCTGGTGCTCGCCGACCACCACAACACAAAGTTGTGCCTTTGCAGCAGGCGGGCGAAGAACAAATCCGCTCCAAAGAGCACCGTATCCGGCGGCATGTTGCCAATGGGCACATGGAAGTAGCGACACTGATCCAGCATCAAATCGAGCACGTTGTTGAGGTTCAGAAAGTGACGAATCACCGCTCGGGAACCCTGACGCTGCCAATCCAATCCAGAAAGCAAGCTGGCGTCATCGGAGATGTGAATCTGCGCCTGGGGAAACTCGAGGAGAATGGGCATGGCCAGGCTGAGTTTGCGCGCCTCCAGAGCAGTTTGTAGACACAGAATCGTAGGTCCCTGGTGCTCCTGCTTGTAGGAGGTCAAAGCCCGCTGAATGTGCCGGTAAATCTGCTTAACATCCACCTCGATGAGCACCTCAAAGTTGTAATCCTCCACGGGAATCTTGTCCTGCTCCTCAACCGTCAGATTCTTCAGCAAAGCCAAACGTTCGGCGGCATAAAGTTGCCTCATATTCGGCATCTGATTGGCACGCACCGTGTCCAAGGCAAAGATGTAACCCTTCTTGCTGGGCATCAAAATCAGGGACCAAATCTCCTTCCTCGCCGTCGGTGTATTGTGCTGATACAGGTAGATCTTGCGCATCCGGTGGTTAGCACTCGCCAGGTACTTTACCTGCGTCTGCGGCCGCTGCTCCAGCTGCTCGATGCTAAAGGTCTCCAGATCCTTGGTGGCCAATTGGGCCAGACGACGTGCCTCCTCCCGTTGAACGCCACAAATGCAGCCCATGTCCATGAGGGCTCGGAATTCGAGAGTCATTTGGGTCTCGTAAATACCCTCGATGTCTGGCGTGGCCAAATCCGCCAGCATTCCTAGTGAGTTATCCCTGAACAGCTGCTCGGGCACACTGTACCTGTAGAGATTGAAAACAGGACGAGATCGAGGGAGAACTCGGTTAACTTTGCGCCACAATTGACCCTCCTCCGGGGGAGCAGCACTCCGCTGGTTGACATAGAAAATCCTGGGCACTGTCAACTTGATCCTGTGTAGCTCCTCGCCAATCAAGGCCCACACGGTAAAGTGCCCGAGGTCATCCACGGGCACTAGTTGCACAATCTGCCAAGGTTGATCGAGCAGCGTGCGTTGTGCCCGCCTCAGGAAGCCTCCTAGAGTGGCAGTGGATCCTGTGGGTCTTGCCACTGGAGGATCCTCTCCCCTCGTCCTCTTGCTCGCCTGGCGATTCCGCTGTCGCTGATCCTGCTGCCATTGCCACTTCTTCTTCTGGAATCTCACCCACTCCACAATGGTCTTCCGGCTGTCTCCAATGGCTGGCGGAGCTCCCAGCGCCTGACGCCAAGTGGTGGCTGCCTCCCTCTCCTCTTGGCCTCCATCATTCTCCTCCAGCTGAACCCTCTTCCTCTTGGTAACAATAGGACGACCTGCAGCATCCTCGCCACCATCTCTGCCCGCCAAATCCTCCATATCCGCCAGCTTATCCTCCGATCTCTCCAGCGGTTTCGGCTTCGGCCTGCTGGTAAACATTTCGTTGATGCGCCGCTGCTTCAGCACATCGTTCTTCTCCAGCATCTTCTTGTGCAACCAGTCGGGATGCTGCACGCGGGGCACTGGATTCGCGAGACCCTGCAGCGCCGCCGGAATGGTGATAATCTTCTGGATGGTGCCGCCTAATCTCTCAATGTAATAGTTCCAATCGAGCACATCCCGTATATCCGCATCGCCCATCGTGTTATCCTTCAGCCAGCGACGCAAATGATGACGCCTTACACTCGGTTCGGATTGGAAAATGGCCAGCGGAATGGCTCTCTCGGTGACCGGAGCTCCTTCGGGTTTCTTCGAGATGATGTACTTGCAGGCGAGACCCGCATCCTTGACCATCTGCTCGCCCAGAAACTCGGCCAATCGTTTGGCCGTCGATATGGAGGTGCTCTTCTGTGCGCCATATTCCTCCAGCTTCTTGGACATGCTCTTGTTCTCGGAAATCAATTCAAAGAGCTCAGAGTCTGGGAGATTGGAACCTCTACTGTAGAGCACATCCAGCCAATAGTCCGCCACCTTGGCCACCGAAGCATAGCATTCCTCCAAAGTACTGCCCGCCAGGAAAGCCTCGAAGACGGAGCTCTGGAAATTCTTGATCAGCTGCAGTTCGCCGCGTCGCTTCACCTCGAAACCCTTGAGTTCGGCCAGTGAGCCATCGAAATTGAAGACGGCATAGCGTTTCTTCAGCTTCTTGCCCTCTTCTTTAGCCGCCGGCAAAACCATGGCCAAGTAGGGTCCATCTACCTCGAAGAAAATCGAGTTCTCATCGCGTATATCGTACTTGGGTAAGTTATTCTCCTTGTCTTTCCTCAACTCATGATACTGATCGTTGGTAAAGTGATCTTTGACCATCGTGTTGAGTACTGCATTTGGGTAGGAAATGTTGATCTTCTTTTTCTTTTCATGGCTCGTTTGGATGGTGAATTCCTGGGGGAAAGACCCCGGTAATATGCACCAAATACCATCGGTGTCTAGCTCCAAAGGACGACCCACTCGCTCGATGATTTCCCTGGCCTTGGTGATGATATTCGAGCCGGTGAGACAAACAATTCCTGCCATGGGCATGGAATGCCAGCGGGCTCCGCGTCGCATCACATAGCCGTAGAACGAGTTCAGGATGCACTTGTGGGCCAACTGCAGGGAGTCATAAAGCACCTCTCTTCCCTTGGCAGCCTTGATCTCCGCCGCATCACCAGAAGCCACTGCAGCATTCACCGAAGCCTTGGCCACTTTGGTGAGGCCTTTGTATTCATACCTACGATCTCGAAACGCCCGCACCGTGTCCACATAGAAGCTGTTCTCCTTCTGACAGATGGTCGAATTGCGGGTCTCCAGTTTGGTCAGCTTGGTCTTCTTGTAGGCCTTCCGGCAGTAATCCGTCAGTCGCTTCTTCTCGTACGCCGCCTGATCCTCCTTGGAGAGCTCGTGAAAGGCGCGCTGCGGGCCGCCCGGGAAGAGGGGCGGGAACTTCTCCGTCTCCAGCTGCTGCTGGATGCGCTGGAACTCGTTCCTCGACGCCGGCAGCATTTCACCGCGCCACAGCCAATCCATGGAGCGTTTGCAGCGAACTCCTGGCTTATTAAAATCGCAGGCAGCGCAATCCAAGTCACTGACCATCGCCGAGGGCTGCAGGCGATTGGTGAGTATGATATTCGGGTACATGGCACCCACATCCAGGTGATAGATGACCGGCTGCTCCAGCCGATTGGGTATATCGTGCAGTCCCTGCAATCCCTGCACAATCTCCTGACGCACTTCATCCAGATTTAGCACTTTTTCCAGCGGAATGCCCTCCTCCACTTCGATGGCGTGGCGCAGAACGGCATCCACCTGCTCCTGCAGTTGCTTAACCATCGCGGGATCCAGACGAAAGCGACAGGGTATATCCGCCCGAAAGACGCCCGATTCCAAGGCCTCCACATGGCCGCCAACGTAAGTTTCCGAGTCCAAAACATGCCCCTCATTCGACAGCTTGTTCAGCTCGCTTTGATGCTTGTTGGGATAGACAATCTGCGCGTGATAGGCCTCCACCATCAGCAGAGTTTCGCAGAGAGTCCCTGAACCCTTTCGCAAAATCTCATCCGGTTCCATGGGAATAATCGTGTTCAAGGCGAAGATAAAAGGATGCACATACTTCATGTAGAGATAATATGTAGCCACCGCATCGGAGACGGAGTAATTGGCCAGCACTTGGGGCTGCTCCACGGCCATGCGGCACATGTCCTCGGGATCCAGTTCCACGGGATCGTAGCGCAGTTTAGCCTTGGCCACCGCCTTTAAACCTTGCGAACCCACTGGCAAATACGAATCTCTCTTCACCCAGCACAGGCAATCCATGTGTATGGAGGGACGACTCAAGTAGTTGCCCTCCCGAAACTTGGAGAAGCCAATCTCCTGCTTCATATCCAGATCATAGACAGCGGCACGGGTCTCCACAAAGGGCCAGTCGAAGAAGTCACCATTATAAGTGACTATTATATGCGGTCGCACCTCCATTATGTGATCAAAGAATCGCTGCAGCAGCTGCATCTCGTTCTCCTCGTTGAAAACTATAAAGTTTCCCTCGAATTCCGGCTTCGGGGTGTACTCAAAGTCGTCCACATTGGAGGAGATGATCTCCCGATTGGTTATCAGATAGCCCTGACCATCGATCATGTAGGAGATCATCATAACCTGATCGGTTTGGGCATCGGGAAACTTGAGCGGCAGCTTGGTGGTCTCTATGTCGAAGGCCAGGACCACGGGTTCGGGTCTGTCCAGGATGTCCGGTCGGCAGGTGATAATGGGCAGCTCCACGCCACTTCTACACCTAATATTATACCACTGACCGCAGAAGATGCGCAGATCTATGGAGACCCTCACGTGATAGGGCACATCGTGCTCCCGGATGTCCACGATGCAGTCCATGTAGTCCTGCTGCCGCTTGGCCAACGTGGCATCCTCGGATCCCGCGGCGGATTGGGCCAACGAACTGGCCAGCATTTGCATGTAGTAGGTGTTGGATTTCTGGCGCTCCTGATTTCTCCTTACGGCGGACATGAGTTCCCTCCTCACTTTTGTCATGGCCGTTTGATTGAGGAAGGATAGCTTGATGTACTGCTGCTGCAGCCCCGAAAGATGATTTGGCAGATCGAGATCCTCTTTGGTTATGTGCTCCAGACTGGAAATCTGGCCGGAATACTTGCGACCCAGGAATCGAGCCACCTCCAGGTGCATATTGTCCTCCGGGCGGACGAGCAAATAAGGCTGATAGGCCACTGTGCACTTGAAGCGGGAACCATCCATCTGGATGAAGAAGAGATCCAAGGCGGCGATGAGGCGCCTGTCCTCATCCAAGACCTCGTTCTAGGGGGGATTACTAATTAGTATCAAGGATCTTCTGGGTTTTCAGGGGCTCTTAACTCACCGAGTGCATGTTGATGAGGTAGCCCGTGCGCTCCTGACTGTCCTTGACCCGATCGAAGCCATATTTCGAGTCGATTTTGTCGTTTTCCCGCGACTGACGGTAGCCCGCCTCATTGAAAAAGTCGTCTCTGAAGAAGAGGATCGGGAAAATCACCTGTAGACCTTGGATTTCTAGTACTTTCACCACTCACCCTTCGGCACGGTTCTCGCTCACGAATTTACCCGTGTTTTGCAGCACTTTGCCTTTGCCGGAGTCTGCCATTTCCTTGCTGTTTTCGCGAAATTAAAACAAATAAATGTAAATAACTTTTTGCCGCCAAAAATCTGCAAGGTCCCAAAAATTTACTAACGCGTTGCGGGAAATACCGACAGGCAGCAGTTGCACAACACTGAAAGTGGGACCAATTGGCGCGAACATGGGATTTTTTTGAAAATATTTCAATGAATTTATTTAAAAAAAAAAAAAGTAACTGAATTATATAAGTTATCCGACTTTTAAAATTATTGTAATTTGCAGTAGGAAAATACCAATGATAGAAGCATCCAGCTTTATTTAAAGTAAGAAATTAATCTTTCCCTTGTTGTACATAAATTTTACCTAATCATAGTAAATTTAACTTTGGTTTTACTATGGTCACAGCAAATTTTACTATGGTCATAGTAAATTTACCTAATGAAAATGATTGACTCGTTGCAGCTCTCTGGTAGTAAAATAGTAATATACATTTATTCTAAATTTTGGTTATGTTCAGTTTATTTATGTAAAAAAAATTAAATCATCCAAAAACTTTCAATTTTTTTATGAATTAATTAAAATTATTTAGAAATCCTCGCTGTTTCAGAAAAGGGATTTCGTTAACTGTATTGCCTATTGTGCATTCCTTTGATTATATGTAATGGCCATTAAATGCTCTGTTTGTTGTCACTTTAGGGACAGCTGCTGGCCACTTGAGTCGGCCTGTTGGCCATGTGTGCCCAGTTCGCATTTCCAACTTATAAAATGCACATTTAATAGTGCAATGAAATCATGCCATCACGCACACCGGCGCATTCATTCATAAAAATCCGGCTCACCTACACGAGTTGTAAAAATGCAGTTCGAAAGAGCGAGAGAGAGAGAGAGAGAGGCGGAGCTGCGCGCATGCGCTCTTCGCATTTTGATTTCTCTCTCTGCACTTGTCGCCCTCTTTTTGTTTCTTCTTGTTTAATTTTACCTTTGGTGCAGCAATTAAATTGCTGCAGAGGTTGACAATCAGCCATATTTTTTGTTGCACGTGTTTCGATATGCAAGGCTGGGTTTTCGGCCTCCCTTGGCCAGGAGAATCGGGAATGAAGTCGAGTATCGTTATCCCGAATCTTATTGCCCTTTTTTCCTGGGTGCAGCTGGCTTTTGAGCCGCCCCTGCACTTGCATTCACTTATGCTGTGTAATTTGTAATTTATGCGAAATGCGTTGCCAGAATATAAAAACATCGCAGTCACTGCATCGACCCTCTCCCTCGCTCATAATCACCGCACACATAAACCTGTTTTTGTTTTTGGCTTGCGAGAAAGAGAGCCTTTCGAACGCACAGTGGTTGTCATGGTCACGGTGGGAAAGTATCACCATCGAATGCAGTTTTATCAGGGGGTGTCTATAGGTATTTTTACAACCTCCTGTTTCCCACACTTTTGGTAATTGCAACTTTATTCAACAATTTGCACCTTTTCCTACAGTACCCATAATAAAAATAATGTTTCAATAATATGTTTACAATTTTATTTTTAAAAATGAATGAAAATATAACCTTAAAATTAGAAAGCTCACAAAAATCAAAATTTTTTTAAAACTGTAAAAATTGTATAGTTTTTAATAGATTTAATAACATTTATTAAATTAGCCTATTACTACTACTACTTAAAAAAACATATTTTTCAGTGTGTTAAAATAGAAAAATTTTTGGATCGTAATTTTCCTAAAAGTTTTATTTTTCCCACTTGGTCTGCATATTTAAATTTTCTCGTGTTTTTGGACACTGTTCGAATGCTTGCTAAAAACGATCGCCCGCACACTCACCCACACACTCACTCACTGATTCGCACTTACACAGAGTTCTGAGCAAGCAGATTTTTTTTTAAATTGTTGCTATTTTTTTGTCGCAGCAACACTTTGTTTTTGCTGCTCAAAATATGTAATTCTGATTTCGTTTTTTTATTTTGCGCTCAAGATGCACGCTCTAGTGGGAGTGGGAAAGAGATGGGGAGAGAAGAGTGAGAGGATCGCGCCCACGCCATTTACTCTCATTTATTCGGCGATCACTGGTGATCAAATAAAAAGTGAATAATATTTATAAAGCAGATTGGAATTACTCTCGATTTTCATTATTTGCGATATTCTGCGGTCTTATCAGTTGGGAGAGGAGAGCCTAAAAAGAATTAGACTGACTTTGCGAAAGAGAGGAGAGAGAAAAACTCGGCAAGTGCGTCGGCGTTGGCGTCTCTGCCGCGTCTGCGCCGGCGTCGACGTCGGCGTCGCTGCCGCCTGTTGCCGCCTTCCTCTGTTTTCAGTCTGTTTTTGACTCTCTTTCGGGCAGCGTGCACTTCGGCTACGGTAAATTTGAATGAATCAAATAAATAAATAATAACAATTTGCAATCCCTGCAAAATAAAAAAGTGTCCAAGTGAGTGCAATACTTAAAAAATCAAGAGATCTGCTTTAGAACGGCTAAAATAGCCAGCAAGAAACGGTTAAGAACCAGGGGAAGCCAAAATCTATATACAAAATCCATCATAAAACCACAAAAATCTCCTCAAACATCGCGTGTGTGCCTGTGTGTTTGTGTGCGATCCGTCGGCCTTTTTTTTCGGTTTGTTTCTTTTCGCGTCTTATAAGCCGAGCTAAACCGATCCCGATCCCGAGATTCCGTCTCTCTCCTCGAGTTGTTCCTTTCGGTTTTTGGTCTGTCTTTGTCCCGGGCACGTAATCCCTCTCTCTTCCTCTTCCCCTAATCAACCTGCTGATCCGATCCCACCGGAGGGTTAAAACATATATACCTTGCACCATAGTGTAAAAGAGAGTGAGGGAGAGAGCGCGAGAGATAGTAATCGGTGCTGCCGACTCCATCAAGATTGTGCGCCTAATTTGAAGCTGTAATTAATTTGGATACCCTAATAAAAACCCAGCCGAAAGACGGAATCCAGAACCTCGGAAACCCAAAAATCAAGAACCCAGAAGCCCCCGCCCTCCCGTTTTCGAGGGGCGCTATTTTATTGCCCCGCACCGGTAAGAAAAGTGAAGTGAAGTGTTGAAAAACAGTAGTTCAAGTATTAGTTTTTGTTATTTTCTCTACACTGGGAAAAAATATTGGCCTAAAATCCAAAAGAACCGCTCTTAACTAACCCCATTGGATATATGTACATTCTTTTTTTGTAATTCTTCTACTTCATTATAAGAAATGATTGTATACTTATCATTTCGGTTATTTTTCAATGTTACTTAAGGACAAAGCCTATTTTTTCTAACTTTTTCATAATTTTTTAAATGCCCTTTCAATAGTTCTGTAGAACTGTATGTCTTCCCCATTTTTCTTCCAAGTGCACATATGTAAACCCTTTTCTGTGTTGGTGTTGCCTGTTTTCTTGAATGAATCTAGGAAAAAACTGGTTTGGCTACCGAGCGATCTGCCGATCTCGCGATCTCGCCTCGATTCAGGATTGCTGCCTCTATAAACTCGTTGTTGGCCAACAGAATTTGAATTGGTTTTCTACCTCTTCATAGCCAAGCTAGTTAGCCGAGTGTGTGTGCCGACCAGTAGCCTGTGTGGGGCACTTCCACAACCCTTGTGGGAACACGATCGAAATTACTACTGTTCCTTTTACAGCTTCCGGTGCCGCAGATGAGCTTCGCTGCCCCTCGATCGCGTTTCGGGCCATCGATCCAAAGAGTTTTGTAATCGAGAATGTGTGAACGCCTTTTGGTTAGGGCCACGAATGTGGAACAACGATCGCATTAGACAATTAAGTATCAATAAAAAGATACGGGAACGCTACTCTTTTGACCTTTGAGCACCGAAAACCAAAAGGGGTTTTGTAACAACCCATAATTGGGATTTTCCTGTCTGCATTTCTAGTTACCTGAAAAGGTTTGAAAAGGATTATTTAATTCGGGACTTAAATCAATGTGATTATTACAAGAAAGGGGATCAAAGGAATATTAAAATTTCATTTAAAACATATTAAATGTTTAAGAGTGAAAACCAAAGAAGATATTTTGAAGATTATATGATCAATAGAAATAGATCATTCCGATATCATTATTTAGACTTTGATTTTTCAAGAATATTGCAGTTTACTTTATTTGATGACATAAAAGATCATTTGACGGTCATGAAACCATATTAAACTCAAGCGTTGTTGCGCTTTCTAAACTCTCCAGATAAGTTAAAGATCCTTAAGGCCGTATAAAAATACCAATCTCCAAAGTTGCAATAAAATCGACAAGCGAATGATAAGAAATTATTGCCATAATCGATAATTTGATGTGTGACGATCGTTGGATCATAATTGAGCCCAGTTCCCGCCCCTCTCCGCTCTCTCTGCTCCACTCTCTCCCCCATCTCCAAATGAAAGACCAGTTCGAGATCCTTTTCCATAAATACCCACAGACAATTACAGTTCAGTGGATCTTCGGGCTTGGTTCGTTGCCCCATGCCACGTTAAACTCGGATTCTGCGCCCGGACCGATGCTAAAAGTATCAACCTGCTGCAGACAGGCCGAGATCAAGATCGATCCCATGACAAGACAAGACGTCGCACACAGATACTACTACTACCACTGCAGATCAACTGAGACTGCGACAGATAGAACACATGTGCACAGGCGGCAGGCATCCCGAGGATCATCAGCGAGAAGATCCCTTCTTTCCAGCGAAGAAGAAGAAAGGGCCCATGGGCCAGGCGATGGGAAAAAAAGGAAAAGAACAGCGACTAAATGTGTATTCTACCGTTACGTACACACCGAAAAATTGCACCCCTATTTGTTGCTGCTGTTGTTGTTTGTTGTAGTCGTCTGTCTGGCCGAGGAGTGTGCACCATATCGAAAGATCATATTCGTTTACAATCTGTTCTTTAAGCATCTGCTGTGCACAGACTCCTCCAGCCCAAAACTCGGACTCCCGACATCTTCTCTTTTGGTCCACTTACTCCTGCGGCCCTCCCAAAATTTGCTCTTTTCCAGGGAAAACATATGCTCCGATTTTCGATTCGTGTGGTTTTTTGTTGTCGCCCTCTCTCTGGGTTTTATTTTTATTTATTTTTTTTTTTTTTCGT